TGTATGTCCTCTATGAGGTTCTGTTCTTATTTTTTACTGAGCCGATCTCAATCAGACTTACACCAGATATACACAACTACCTTTACATAATATTTGGAAATGAAAGTAAAAATAAAATCAATAAAGTAAACACAAAGGTAAAACCAAAACAAATTGACTGTTCTTCCTGGTTTAACAATGTTAATGTTAAAAAAAAATCTTAGCAAGAACTGTAACAAACAATTAGCCATTGAAGGTGCACATCGTTAAACAGGGTTTTAGCAAAGATTCCAGTTTGTGCCTGCATTTTGAACAGCACTAAAAATATAAAGAATGGGTTTATCTTGAAATAAATTCATCTGGTTTCAGAAGTATTTTTTTATTTTTCTTTTTTGTTTAACCACTGTAATAACATGTAAATACCTACATAGTTGTAAAAATGTATTACTGTAGGCCATATTAAATGTTTGTGGTACACTATGTAGATCATCTGAAAAGAACTGTTGTTTTTGTTGAGAATGTCTCAAGAGCTTTGACTGAGTTACTTCAATCGTCATCAGGAGAACAATGAAATTGTATCAAAATAATAGAAATGTATTTTCATAAGCACAACTGTCATTATGCTTACTTACCAATCGGCACGTCAAACCGATAACAACAATCGGTGTCTGGGCTGACTGACAGATGTCAAATAGATTATAAAGCAATGTTTGATTGCGATGATGGGCAAACAGATCAAATTCGTCTAAGATAAACAACACCGGTTTGCTTTCTTTACTGCCTGTAAGATGATAACCACACACATTATAAATAAAAAAAATGTAATATTATTGGGGTTTGAGAGCCTGGGCTCTTGTTTGTGATGTTATCTCTTACACCCTAGGAAAATGAAATGAGTAATTGGTGGATGTGCATATAAATTGAAGTTTCCACTTTATTTGATTAATAAATGGTGGAAACAATTTTAAAAAGTACATCTCTTCTTCTTCCTAGATTGAGGGCAAACTTCATATTGGAAGGCGTCGGCCTAAGACGGATGTGGACCACTCGTTCTAACAACTTATTTATCCCCTAATGGTCCCGTTGTGTCACGCGCAGCCAAGAAGACGCCCACCTAGTCCACAATGACGGGCTGTGAGATGGACCAGTACACTGGTGTAACCACCTACTTGTCTATGAAGATGTACTGGGTTCTTTATAATGCATAAGAGCCAATTGTCCACCTCCAGAGCCTTAGGCGAGCAAAAGCCGTTTGAATCAGCGCAGATATTATTGTTGTAGGTTGCAGCGCCCATGCCTTAACCGCTCCGCCATTCAACTCAACACATTATGATTCGAACCCAATGGTTATTCGACGATACGATATACCTCACAGCTAGTATAAAATTAATCAATAAAAGTTACTTTACCTGTTTTTAGGGCTTCTAATAAAAAGGCAAGGTTCTCAGCAAATGATCCCTGTACACACATACAAAAGAAAAGAAAAATTGCGTTTGTGACCATCATTTAAGCACCGCCCACTTGCCAATGCTCGCATTATTGTGTTTCTATTAGTTGCACTTTTCACTAGAAACGCGTTCAGAAGGAATTTAACCGTTTATAAAAAACGTGTTTTTGACGTTATTCAGCAGAAACATGCCCACTGATGCTTGTTTTGGGATGCCAAGTCTCATATATGAGTATAATGTGACATCATCATTATGCCCATATATGGGAAATCACAGATTGTCACATAAACTTGACAGTGTGGACAAAGCTAAAGTGTCATTATGATACTCAAAATTTTTTTGGAATAAAACATTTGATTCTAAGTGTAGACTTGATGTTCAATTGGATATGTCAATATTTTCAAGAATATTTTTTAAGTAGAAATGCCCATCACCAGACAACGCAGTCCCTCAAATTATTATTCCTGAGATTAGAATATCTTTACCATTCCTGAGATTAGAATATCTTCCATATGGTATTATAAAATAAAGGTGGTAAACAACTTACAGATCCAAGGTATTAAAGCCCTGTCCAGACTATCAAATTTTATTTGAAAAACACATGTTACATGCCTAAATATGGTCATGATGACATCACACCATGACCATATATAGGGAATCATGACTATATATGGGCATACAACAGTTTTTGTCAAAGAAAATTTGACAGTAAACAGAGCTTCAAGACATTGACTTACAAATACTTTATCTCCGACTACATTGTCAAGATTCAGTTGCCTTGTGATTTCTTTCAATGCAATCCTGTCATCAGTCTGTAGCAACCCATTTAGATGCACCTCTAACAAATTCTTAGTGATGTCCATGTTGTTCTCATGCAACTCTTTCAGAACATCCTTCATCAGCTGCAAGTACAAAATATCAAAATTACTGTACTGGTTAATAACAGTAAAAGAAAATACAGCATTCAACAATCAAATAAACTGGTCACACTTTTATTCTTGTTCTGTTTATTGCCGAAAACAACACAAACAGTACAAAAACAACCGAGGGATTTGGCAGGAAACAAAAAGCGACCCTAATCGCTGTAACAAAAACTATAGTATTTCCCACTCACCTAGTTTCACATTAGAAATATTAAAAAATTGATTAAAATAAACTTTACATAGAGCATATTAAAATGTCACATAAAAAATTAAACACATAAAAAAATCATCAAAAACAATTAATACATTAATAAAATTATATATAAATATATTTAAAACAAAAGCACAGTAGAGTGTTGAACTGTATGGGATAACTAAAAATAGTAAAATGTAATGCACATAATTTCATTTGCATTTGTATTATTAATAAAAACAAAAACAATTATTATCATTAGTTATAAATTACTAATAACAAAATTAAACTACAATAATCCACAATCACTCTCCAGTATAATGTTATTGCTATTTGAGTTATAATTTATATCATTTATGTCACTATCTATGAATATATTAAGTTCTGTAGTATAAATGTTTGTCTTACCATTGATTTACCAGCACCTCTGGGACCAATTAGTAATGCTGAGTTACTTTCACCCAGGTTGGCACATCGTTTTAGAATTTCCAATAAATGTCTAAAAAACAAATAATAATTCCAAATTCTAATAATACAGGATACGGTAATGCTTTTTTCTTTTTTTCTAAAAAGAGTTACTTGTCACTTGAGGAATGGTATGGATCATAAATGTTATATATTGGTGTTTTACTGGCTATTATATACCTACCTTATAAACATAATTTTTGAAAATATTTAAATATTCAAGCAACATTTATTAGGCAGTCATGGAACATTAATTGGTCTTTAAGTGGTTGGAAATTCACATACTTTTTTTGTTCTTTGAATGATTCCACATTTTCTGGTAACTGATTGTTGCACAATTTTCCTCGAATGGTTTCCTGAAGCAAGTCAAAATTATTTGTCACATCTTGTTTGATTCTTGTTGTGCTTCTATCCAGCTTTGGTGTCTTTGGTGATAGAACTGGCGAGCATTTGTTCTGCGTTGCATCAGATGCTGCAGCCAATTCTGCCTTTTGTCTGGTTCCACGCTTCCTAGCTGGAGTCTTTGGCATGTCTCTGTATGTGCTTCCTTCTTTTATTTGAACACTATTTTGTATATTAAGTTGAACAAATTAAGTTAAACAAATTAAGTGACATTACAGTATCTGGCATTTGGACTACATTTTGGGAGAGATCTAGGCCAGTTGTTCTAGCCTCTTATAACAATTTTACTCAACACTCAATTTCATTGACTTAGTGAGTAGCATTCCACCATTCTGCAGTGTAACAAGGCTCACTTACTACTGAATGTCAGTGAAGATTACAGTAAGGTTAGCGGCAGGGGTTGCCACTGCATTGGGTATTAATATTATAGTTATACCTCTAATCTATTATGAAACAAAGCCACAAACTGAAATCAGACAATTATAAAAGTTTTCACATTCATCTGTTAGGTTTGAGAGTTAATCAGCATAATTTTTGAGACACAGGGTTCAAAGAAATACTGCAGATGAATGTTTAATCGCTATACAGTGCAAGCAACAGGAGTCAACAACAATATTTACATGGCTAGAGAAATGATAAAGTGCACTCTCCCAATACCGACCCCCCCACCCCACACCACCTCGGGACTGGTTACGATATTCGGATTTCCAGAAAGTTTGGTTAGTGTAACGTATCTATTGAAACCTTACTAAACAAGCTTGTTGTAGGTCAGCTAGGGCCTAGTTGCTGTAATAAACATAGGGGCATAGGCCTAGCTAGCAAGAGTCCATGAGTTCAGTATGACTAGCCTACGAAAAGTTAACATAGGCCTACATACAGTACACAGTGTTACGTGATGGCCCGTTTGGCCGCCCATAGTTGTGAGGTCACATTCCTCGTACGTTGAGGTACGCTGTTGTTGTTCAATAAAGATGATGGCTGAACAATGAGCTTGTGTGTAGCCTGACTGTATTGTTTACATATGAGTGTCTCCATCACGATACACAGAGTAGCTGTTGTTTTGCTGTACTGTACAGCAAATTTAATTACCAATAAAATGAATGCTTTTATATTGTTTTTACGTGCATTTTCGGTCTGATATTTTTCCCTTAAACCCAACACATTCTTTGTAGTCACAATGCCACTTGCTGGTCGGTTGTTGTAAACAACATCAGACATCATCATGTCGCGCCTCCTGCCAGCTTATTGGTTAATTCTTTTTGTGGGGTCATGTGCAAACATGCGCTTGGCTGTGATGACGTCAGATCGCCAAAAGTTACATTGCGTGACAGCTTGCTGATAGAACGAATTCAGTGTATTGCCTATATTTATAAATCAAATCTAAATAAATCTAACAAATTTAAATTCTATTCTCTACAAATTACCTCCGTAATTAAATTAGCAACATGTTTCTGAAAAGTGTTTTGTTTGAAGAATAAGTGAAGCTATGCATTTGCAAACACTGATGAATCTAATGACATCCAAATCCGAATAAACGTCTACTAAAAAAGAGTCAGCCATCGTAGAAACTTGCTTTGAGTTCTGTCTTCATTCAGGTTGATTCCAATCGATATTTAAGGAGTGATAATGCACTTTATTAAACAATGGAAGGCCTCATTTTCATTTGATCTAATCATTTAACTTTAACGTTTATTGGTGTGTCGTTTTAAATCAATAGATAATCTCTGGCAGTACGCTATTGGGACTGAGAAAGCAGTACGAACAGTTCATTCATAGGGTGTTGTGCTAGGCCTACATTAGTTGTTAATTCCTAGACAGCAACATGTTTATTGTGCTAAATTGTTGTTTATTAACTGTTTTTTGGGTTTGTAGAAGTTCGTACATTGTACACAGTAAAGTATAATGACCCACGATATTGGTATAAAGACGTTTTTCATCCTAGGCCTTGCATCTTTTACATTGATAAATAGTTGCCATGGTCAGCAAAAATTGCGTCGGCATTTCGAGGGCTGTCACGAAGGTGAGTTATTTTGAAATCTAAAGCAAGTTATTTTTCATACCCCTTGATAGCAGATTAGGTGCACGATGATGCGCGACCGCGATCGCTCGCCTTACATTTGTAGAAGGCACTTTATTTAGGTTGCCTCTCTCCACCCAGGAGTACAAGTGTGTACCTGGTAGGTTCCAACACAACTGCGCTGATTACTAGCCGCAATATTATGGAATAATAATATAATTTAACTTAATAATTTAATTTGGTGTTCAATGTGTTCCATATGTGTTTGATCCAATGACTGGGGTAGTAATGTGAAGCGCTTATTTAGAGGCTTTGTAAAGGCATTAAGCGCTATATAAGAACGACATATTATTATTTTGATTATTATTTAAATGACAAGGTCTGGTAGGCCAACGTGTGTAAATCAGGAAAAAATTTTAAATTTAAATATTCAACCAAATTTTATCATCTAAACTGTAGATTACTCACACCAAATCAATGTGTTCTTCCATTGAAATAATGTGAAACTATATTTTAAGTCAATTTGAGGATATAATTTTTTGTGTGCTCCTCCTAGCTAGATACAAAACCGATAGAGGGCGCCAGGCCCGTAGCCAGGTCATTTCAAGGGGGGTTCTCTGGGCGTGGGGTCCAGGGG